TTTTGAGACTGGACGTCATGAGACCGAGACCTTTACCCACCTATTTCTAGAGAGTGAGATTGTGAGGAGAGTGTGGGAGCACTTTGCCACCTGGACACATATATCCCTACCCTCCATAAACAGTTTCTTTGAGCTCCTGAGTTTTTTCTCACAGAGCACACACTTTAGACACGTGGGCTTCATCATTCCTTGTCTGATCCTTTGGTTCATCTGGACAAAAAGGAATAGTGCGAAGCATAGGGATATTTCTTTTTTGCTTTATCACATTATTTTGCAGGTAGAGAGACATCTTTCGCTCTTCACATCTTTGGGCAGACTTACCGCCCGAGAATGGACAGGCTGCACGCCACCACACCGCTACATGGTGGCCCACCCTGCGCCTGTTCGGCCCCCTCGGCCTAGAGATGTTGTTTGGCTTCGACCAGATTCTCCATGGGTCAAGCTGAACACTGATGGCTCTTTCGATCGCCAGACCGGAGTTGCCAGAGGAGGAGGTTTGATTCGGGACCACAGCGGCGCCCTTATCACCGCCTTCCACACGTCCCTTCAGACCTCCTCGAGCAACGACGCAGAGATTCAGGCACTACAGATTGGCCTTCAGATTGTTGCCCACCTCTAGTCATATTTGGATCAAGCTGGACGCTGCGGCGGTCGTCACCATCCTGACCTCGGGCCACCAGGGCTCGTGGCAGATTCAGCACCTGCTTATGCGCATTAGAGCTCTTCTATTGTCTGTCCATCACAGGATTACGCACATTTTCCGTGAGGGGAACAGACCTGCCGACTACCTTGCCAGCCTTGGCGCCACCACTCCTGACCTTCACACTTTCCAGACCGACACTGCTCCACTCCGCCTTCGCACGCTGGTACGGATGAATCAGCTTGGGTGTCCATCTTTTCGCTTCCAGTAGATTAGGTTTTTTTTTGTTGTTTTATTTTGACCATACATTTATTCCGGGCACCTGTTAGCCTGATGATAGATCTTGTATTATTTCCGTTTTCTATTTTTGTTTCTCTTTTGCCTGTGAGACTATGTTATCTGTAGCTGTTTGATATTTTGGGCTCGTTTTGGGGTCTTGATCTATGGACAGGTTGGGGATCCAGCCCAATCCCCCGTCCTTCGGGGCGTTGTTTGTTAAAAAAAAAAAAACCTAGCAAGAGAAGATAACTAACCTAGCAAGAACATACATATATCATTGCAACTTCATAAAACTAACCTAGCAACAACAGATTACTAACCTAGCACCAACAGATAGCTAGCCTAGCAACAACATACAACTAATGCAACATGATAAAACTAACCTTGCAACATGATAAAACTAACCTTGCAGAGATATATACCTAACCTTACAGATATATACAACTAACATTGCAGAGATCTACAACTATCATTGCAACATGATAAAACTAACCTTGCAGAGATATACAACTAACATTGCAACATGATAAAACTAACCTAGCAATAAAAGACAACTATCCTAGCAGCTACAGATAACTATCCTAGCAGCTATAGATAACTAACCTAGCAGTAAAAGACAACTAACCTAGCAAAAAAAGAGAAATAACCTAGCAGAGATATGTAACTAACCTAGCAATGAAAGACAACTATCCTCGCAATTACAAATAACTAACCTAGCACTAACAAACAACTAATCTAGCACCAACAGACAGCTAAGTGTCATGCTTAGTAATTAATTAAGCATAAAGGTTATGCTTAATTATATATTAATCGTGTTCAATTAACCAAAAAGCCGTGAGCATTTCTTCATAAATCATGAAAGAATTTCATGCATTT